ATCGAAAGTCTTACCACCGAGTGGCTGCCAATCGAAAGCTTTACCACCGAGTGGTTGCCAATCGAAAGCTTTACCACCGAGTGGTTGCCAATCAAAAAGCCTTACCACCGAGTGGTTGCCAATCGAAATCTTTGCCACCGAGTGGTTGCTTGCTGTTGACAACTGCTACCTGGGCTTTTCCCAAGTGTCATCAATTCTTAGTGAGCGTAAATATGGATCCCGAGTGTGAACAAAAAAAAATGAATTACCTTGAAAGCAAAATCAAGCTTTTGCTGCGCAATAAAATGTATGATTTTGACAAATATATTAAGCGGTGCATCACGTGGTACCACAGCTCGATTGCCTTTCGGAAAAAGCGAGTTGCAAATTGATTCCAGACGATTCCGTGTTGCTGTATTGCCTTCACAGTTATTTCGAATTACATACACCCTGAAAAACAGTGATGGCAGATGCTGAAGAAGCTTGAAAATTAGTTGGCCAAGTTTTTTTTAGCAATTCTCTGATCATAATTTCTGTGATATCACCATATAAGAGTCCAAACAGTGTGCGCGCTAAACGTATTCATATTCTGGCGCTCCGGAATAGTGAGTCCAGTCCTCCGAAGAAGAAAGCGTGGTGTATCGGCTCGGATTAAGCGATGATTTGTAATGTGTTTTCGACGATACTGGGTGGATGATATCAATGAATCTGCTGATAATCGTGATTTTTTTTTTCTATGATTTTCCCGTCTCTAGGAGAAAATCCGTTGTTATTCCGACTTTTCTATGGTTTCTCTGTTCCCAAGAAAAAGTTTCTGACCCAAATACTTTCTGTAACTAAAACTGGAAACGACAGTTTTTTTTTTTAATCAGATCATCAACAAAAGAAATTCGATCCATCAAGCTTGTAGAAGAAATTTAAGTTGGAAGGTGCAACTGGTTTAATATTCCTATAAAGCAGTTTACCGGTTTAATAGCAACTAAGATGTTGGCCATGAAAAAAAAGCATTTTTAAAGAATCGCAAACGGATCGGAACAAAAAATGTACGTACCAGAGAAGACGATAAAGCGATTCCAAAGCAACTCGTGATACTTTGGAATCCTTGTTTTTTAGACTAGCAAGTGTAGAATTAAGGAACTGTGGCCAATTCGTCAGGAAAAATTTGCTTTGACTGATACATAATAAGCATGTTAGCAACGGATATGCTGCCTGAAAGATATATGAAATAATCAAAATAAATTAGAAAAATAAATTTTGA